GTCGAAGGAAAAGAGTGCAACGCATGCTTTTGAAACCTAAGGCCTTCGAGTTGGGAAGTGGTTCGGCCGTTTTGATCGGATACCTGCACTTAGGTTAGCGTATAGTGTAACTGAAAGAAAAGGGAGACGGTCATACCTTAGTGTAGAATGTGTCGGCGATGTTTCGAGCCCCGATATGTTTCAGTCGCTTGTGATGAGGTTGCGGTACAGTCTTCTGCTTTGTTTATTCGGGCTTAACCGAAGATGTAGTTTGCTATTGCTTATTTACTGTTTGATTACCCTTTGGTTCTTTCGAAGGTGGAGGTACTAGTGTCGGCGCTACGTCATGTACTGCGAACATTTCTCTCACCGCATGCTGTTCCCCGTAGACGATTTTTATCCCATCCTTTGTCGGGAACTTTATCATTTGATGAAGGGTTGATGGTACTGCTCTCATGCAGTGTATCCATAGCCTTCCGAGCAAGTCATTGTATCTCATGTCTCCTTCGATGACATGGAATTTGGCATTTTGGGTTGTGCTGGCCACGTTGACTTGGAGGGTGATTTCCCCTTTTGTCGTCTCGCTCGCCATGTTGAATCCGTTGAGGACTCGAAGGCGGGAATGATTTGGTCGAGCAGCCCGAGCTGCTCTACCACCCTCGACCTGATAATGTTGGCCGAGCTACCTGGATCCACAAGTACACGTTTAATTTGAAATGTATTTACAAGGAAAGAGATTACCAGTGCGTCGTTGTGAGGTTGAGACAAGGTCTCGATGTCCTCGTCGCTGAATGTGAGAGCATCCTCGGGTATGTAGCCCCGAGTTCGCTTTTCTCTGGTGATGGATATTTTTGTTCTTCTCATCATGGGCTCCTATGGGGCATCGATGCCTCCCAAGATCATGTGGATGACATGCTGTGGCTCATTCGTTTCGTTCTTCTTGGCCGCCTCTCTTTCCCGGAACTGATTTTTGGCCCGGTCGCTTAGGAATTCTCGGAGGTGACCTTTATTGAGTAGTCTGGCTACTTCTTCTCGGAGCTGGTGGCAATCCTCGGTCCTGTGGCCATGCGTGTTGTAAAATTCACACACTAAGTTATGATTTCTTTGCGAAGGATATGATTGTACAGGCCTGGGCCACCTAGCATCTCTGATTTTACTGATGGCGAACACGATGTCTGATACGTCGACGTTGAAGTTGTATTCCGACAAGCGAGGCGCCTCCGTTGGCCCTGTGTGCCTATCGAATCCGGCTCTGTTGACGAGTCCCTGAGGATTCTGTCCTCGATCCATCCTTCGATCATTGCGGGGTATGTTGCGCCTCGAGGCGTTTCTCCTGTCTTCGGTGTATGGCTGGTACCTTTCTTTGTTTGGCTTTGGTTCCTTCGCCAGAAGCCTGCTAGGGTATACCGAGCCCGAGGGGGCTCCTAGTTGGTCGTCCTCGACCCGGATTTTCGACTGATATCGGTTGTGAACGTCCGACCAGGTCATGGCGGGATATTTAACCAGATTCTGTTTCAGCTGCTTCGAAGCCACCGAGCTTCGTTCATTCAGACCTTGAATGAAGGCCTGCACTGCCCAGTCGTCGGAGACTGGTGGTAGTTCCATTGGAAAGCGAGATATGAACTCTCGCAGCATCTCATTCTCCCTCTACTTAATCTTGAAGACTTCAGATTTTCTTGTTGCTACTTTGATGGCACCAGCATGTGCCTTAATGAAAGAATCCGCCAGCATGGCAAATGAATCTATCGAGTGTGGGGCCAGGTTGTGATACCACATCATTGCCCCTTTAGAAAGCGTTTCCCCGAACTTCTACAGTAAGACGGACTCGATCTCGTCATCCTTTAGGTCATTGCCCTTCACTGCACAAGTGTAAGCGGTAACGTGCTCATTGGGGTCGGAGGTTCCGTTGTACTTTGGAAGATCTGGCATTCTGAACTTCTTTGGAATGGGTTTCGGGACCGCTTCCTGTGGGAACGACTTCTATACGAACTTCTTTGAATCCACACCTTTCAAGATCGGGGGTGCGCCCGGAATTTGGTCGACCTTGGAGTTGTAGGTCTCGACCTTCTTGTCGTTGGCCTCTATCTTCTTCTCGCCCGATTCGATCCTCCTCGTGAGGTCCTCGAGCATCTTTACGATGGTGGGGTCGGCTGCCGACCCGTTGTTGCTTGATCTCTCTGGTACCTGCTCGTCTGGGAGAGCCGTCTTCGGTGCTACCGTGCTAGGAGTTTTCTGGTGACTTTGCAGCTGAGCAATAGCCAGCTGTTGTGCCTGCAACATTTCAAAAATAACGTGAAGGCTAACCTCCCATTCTTCCCCAGTCGGGGTTTTTTGGACTTCTTGTTGTTCTACTTGATGTACGCTCCTGTTGGTATGGGAGCTTATATCGACGTGTTGGGCCTCGCGCGAGACTGCGTCCACGGGAATTGGTTCTGGCGCGTTCCCAGGGTTTCGTGGTGGTATACCAACACCTGGAACATTCACACCATTCTCTCCGTGGTCCTCAAGATTGTTGTTTTCACCTCCATTTACTGAGTTAGACATTTCGACCTGAAATAGAAGATTTTGGACAAGAAAAGCGTGAAAGATAACTTGCGTTATGTAGTAAAACCAGCAAGAAAATAATCACTATTATTTTTAGCCCCACGGTGGGCGCCAAACTGTTTACCTTGAAAATGGTAATAACAATTAAATTTGATTATGAGGTTCTAAAAATACGTGATCTATTTTTATGCTAGTTTTTACGCGATTGATGCTAAGTAAAAGGTTAGAAAGCAGGATTATAGCTTAGAAACGGTATAGATCGGGGGTCTCGAGCTGTCGATTGTGAGGCCTCGGGGTCGAGCTGGATGGCCGATTCGGGGCAGTCGAGAGGGGGATAACATTTATGAGAGCTATGATGATGACCCTTTATGATCAATGATAAGCAATAAATAAAGAACAATAAATAGAATACAATAAATATAAGCAATAAATGAAGTAGTAAAATCAAGAAAATATGTTAGAGAGCAGAGAGAATGTTCTTGTGTATTTAGCATTGAGCATCAGATGTCTACAAATGACAAAGATTCCCCTTTATATATGAGGGGAACATAGTACAAAAGCATTAATTACAAAGATATGGGGCAGGTATAGCTACTCAATGCCCTGATACGGGTCAGAACTTTCCACTGTTCTACCATAACCGTTGACTTGCGCTGCCTCGAGGTTGGACACCGATGGCTCCTCGGGATAAATCTCGACAGTAGTCTCGGGCCTTTGGAAACCTTGCTCACGAGGCATTGTAATGGCCGAAAATTGGACCCTCCGATTTTACCGTATACGGTCTGCCAAAATTAGAGGACGAGAAATGGTACATTCTTGAGACACATCGAGGTTGAGGCAGCAATATCAGGTGAAGGTGCAGCAAAGATCATCCATTATTGGGAAGAAACAATCTGCATCAAACTGAAGAGATGGTCTGAAATCCAACAGTCAGGCTGTAGCTGCCCAATCATGAAGAAACTTACATGTATACATCCATCCGTAATTTGGTGCGATATACATAAACTGACTGCTATTCCACCACAATCGAAACGGGTTAATTGGACCATTAGTGGACTTCTGTTCAAGGAACTACTCAATGGCAAATCTTGTGGGTAAACTGTATGTGTAGCATCATTATAAGCATGGTTGAGAACTTGGAACATTGGACAACTGACTCGGACATCTAAATACCCAGCACCTATGTCATTACAATCAACATAGTTGTTATTCATGATTCATCCCGCGAAGGAGTACTGATACTTTTGAAAGGGAGTTTTCAAGAATCTGGCTTATGTTGGTATTTGGAGTAGAAGGCAGCAAAAGAAGAATATGCAGGACTAGATATTTGATCAGTGGTAGAAAGATTGTGATGTCTAAGTTATGAAGGGTGGGAGAGGAGGGGTTGATCATATTTTGCCAAAGAATTCTTGATTGCACCATTTTTAGCTCTCTGTTTCGTGAGCAATGTGGAGGAAATGAAGATAGTTATAAATATATTTGAAGCTCAACAAACTAATGCGTGCATTCATTTATATTTTTCCAAAATTTAGTTAATCATTAATTTTGTTTGAATGCTGAATTCATTTATTTTATTTTTAGGTTTTCTAATAAATACATAAATAAATAAATAAATAAATATTGTTTAGGTTTTGTTAGATTCTGAGCCGAGAGTTAAGTGGAAACAACCTCTCTGCCTTCACTATGTAGTAATATGGTCTGTGTACACATTATCCTCCGGAGACCCCACATGTGAGAATATACTAGGTTTGTTGTTGTTATTGTTTTGTTAAATTTTTATTCAACTTAGCTATGGGCGTGTAGCATTAACTTAATCATGGTTAAATACTAACAGTTCAAATAGAATGGGACATGAACTTATTTCTTCTAATACTTTGGAGCCTTGGTGTTAGGCAGAGTTGCTCGCTACTAATACGGATAAGAGGCAGCAGGCATCTCGTTGAAATAATGAAGGTGCGATTATTTCTTTTAGTGCTTAATTAGGTGCACGCAAGTTTGTCTCGGTTACTAGGGATATAAGTTTCTCATTTTTTTCTAACAAAAGTGTTTGAATTTTATGCTAAAAAGGAATTTAGTATTAGCTGCAAAATAATGAGGACAAAGTTTATTAAAAATTTAGATATTTTGAATATCTTATTCTTTCATCATAATCGTACTTCTTGATTTAAGCAGAATAATGGACATTCCACATTAAGAAACGTGACCGGATGGATAAAATCTCTTCGCTCTTAATTAAAGCTTTTCAATTCAATCCTTAGAAATTAAAAAAAAATCGGGTTAAGAGTGCTTTCCCTCGTAAACCTTACGTGATGTGAATGTGAATTAGTCGGGCCAATCGATTCAAGGTACCCATATTTTAAAAAATGGACATTTCTCATAAACTTCAGGGGCAAATTGATATATTCTAAATCTTTAAGGGTCAATTCTCATTTAACGCTATAACTTCCACCCAAAAACCCGAAATTGGGCTTCAAGAACCCAACTGCCAAAGATCATCCTTTTGAAAAACAAGAAGAATCACCGACGATAGACACCATGGTTTGTGCTTAGTACTTTCCTTTAATTCACCCTTTAATTTTTTCAATTTCCTGTCATACCCAACTGCATTCTAGGATTTTCTTATATATATTGATATATTGATGTGTTTATGTGTGTGTTTTTTTTTCAATATATGTATATTGTCATAAATGTATCTCCATTTTGCTTCTCATATATCTAGTTGGTTTGGGCCTGCTTCTTTTCCTCTGTATAATTCTGGAAATGCTCACATGGGAGTGGGGCGGAACTAATTCTTATTAGCTGTTTAAGTTCTATTCACCGATAATGTAAGAAATATTTACACAGTTAGGTCATTAGGTAATTATAGGTAAATCTTTTAATAACCATTAATTGACTAAACTACTAACACAGGTAACTAAACTACTAAGTACTAACACATGTTAATTAACCATTAATTTGGTACCAAATTAGTTAACCATTAATTTGGTAAAAATGGTAACTAATTCACTGATAATGTAAAAGAATCTATACACTGTCACGCATATAACTTAAATCTATGCATTAAATCCGAAGTGTATTTTGAATAGAGCGGAATGGATACAAAAGATAGTAGAAGTTGGATTGGTGGACGGTTATTAAAACTAAGCCTGTGGGTCATGTGGAAGTTGAGAATGTATTGGATGTTGCATATCAAAAGTGTTCAACAAGCGGTGGACAAAGAGTTAGAACATGAATTGGAGCATCCTCAACACATATATGAAGAAATTGATCTCGGTGAAGAAGGTTTCATGGCAAATGGGGAGGAAGAACTATCAGATGACGATGAGTATACTTCTTATGAGTCAGATTCGACTGAAAGTAATGGAACAAGTGAAGATGAAGAATTGGCAAGTGGTGAAAATGAAATAAGCGAAGATGAAGAATTGGCAGGTGTTGAAGATGAAAGAGCGAGGAGGATTAAAAAGAGTGTTTTCGTTGGTTCTTTCTGTATTTGGATTAGCTAATTTTTTTTGTCTACCTTTCTGTTTCTTGTGTGAGATTCTCTCCACTATTTTATGATAAAAATGGTGATGAATTTTATTGTGTCTATTTTTCTCCTTAGCTTCTACTTCATGTCTTTCTTTAGCGTGTTGTTAATGACATGTATTTGTTTAGTTAATTATTATTTGTTCATCTCTTTTTGTGGTTATGGCTCTAACGTCTCGCATATATTGTTATACAGGTTCAAAGATACAATAACAACAACAAATCCAGTAGTTTCCCACAAGTGGGGTCTGGGGTACAGGTTCAAAGATAACAAGTGTTTTTATTCAAGTCATTATTTACTTAACGCAATATGTTATCTTTCAGCTTCTGTTTCAATCAATATTTAACACAATTTATTTTTATACTTTAAATCAGTATTTTTTACTAACTTATTTTTAACATTCTTATTATGTAGATGGCATCTGGTGAGAATACTGATCGACATCGGAGTAATGATTCTCACGAGGGTGTGACTAACAAGAAAAAAAGAAAAGAAAATGCTACAATGTCTAGATCGAGTCCACCTCATTCTTCCACCCCTAACAAGAAAAAAGGAAAAGAAAAGGCTATCGTGTCTAGAATGAGTCTACCTCGTTCTTCCACTCTATCAGTGCATTCTCGCTCACAGGGCCAACCACCATGATCATATCTTTTCTATGGTATGCGTCCATCGAGCTACCCACTGATCCCTCCCCCGGTCTATCCCGGGATGCCTCACTCGAGCTATCCATCTATGCCTTCCCCGGGATATAGCTCGATTCCTCCCTCGGGCTATCCCGGTATGCCATCCGCTGCTCCTTTTTCCAATGTGCCTCTTCCAGACTATAGCTCGATGCAATAGCCATTTACAGCCATACAGCGTATGCACTCAGCTTATCTCGCTGCCATGGAGCGATATACCCGTCATATGTCCCGGCGATCGGTAACTCGACCATCTTTAGAGTCTCCATTATCAGAGGCCACTCCATCTCCACGTCTTTCTAGGTTGAATATTAGAGCGAGCAGTTATGAGGCATCGCCTGCTCCTTCGACTCCGTCTTCAGTTGATGGTCCAAATCTTCCACCACCTGGACATGTAGATCTTCCGCCACCTGGACATACAGATAGGATAAATAGAGTACACATCATTGCTGAAGGACTGGGTGAGCTTAATCTTTTATGCTATTTTAATGTTTTATATTTTAATTATTGAATTAACAATTTTGTAAATGTTTCTGTCATTGTCTTCAAGTTTTATCCTTCTAGACCGTCTGCAAATGCAATTTCAATTGCCATTAGAAAGATTTATAATGGTGCCTACCCGACTTGGAGTCATATTCCATATCATCAGCAGCAACCGGTGCTTAATGAGTTTATGGTACGAACACCTTGTTTGTAGACAACTATATATCTATCTAACTTTATTTATCAACTAACACTATATATTTTGATTGCAGAAAAGGTGCACATGCAACATGCTGAGGATTATGTTATTAGAAGCAATGTTGCAAAGAGTGCAACGAGACACCCTTCTCAGAATTTCGAGTTGCTTTTGCCTGATTGCTCTTCTTTTTAAATTCCTCAGTGGCTCAGTATTTAAGAAGCTCCACCTAGTGATCTTTTCCAACCCACCCAGGCATTATATTTTGGCCACAAGCATCGGAGAACATGTCTGATAATCGATGACTAGCCCTCTTTGCAAAATTGCTTCTAATAACATTATCCTCAGCATGGCTGCATGTTCACCTTTTCGCTAATCAAAATATATAGCATTAGTTGATAAATAAAGTTAGATAGATATATAGTTTTCTGCAAACTAGGTATTCGTACCATAAACTCATTAAGCATCGGTTCTTGCTGATGATATGGAATATGACTCCAAGTCGGGTAGGCACCATTATAAATCTTTCTAATGGCAATTGAAATTGCATTTGCAGCCGGTCTAGAAGGATAAAACCTGCAAGACGATGATAGAAACATTTACAAAATTGTTAATTCAATAATTAAAATATAAGATACACATTAAAATAACATAAAAGACTAAGCTTACCCAGTCCCTTCAGCAATGATGCGTACTCTATTTATCCCATCTGCATGTCCTGGTGGGGGAAGATCTACATGTCCACGTGGTGGAAGATTTGGACCATCAACTGAAGACGGAGTCGAAGGAGCAAGCGATGCCTCAGAACTGCTCACTCTAATATTCAACCTAGAAAGACGTGGAGATGGAGTGACCTCTGATAATGGAGACTTTGAAGATGGTCGAGTTACTGAACACTCGGACATATGACTGGTATCGCTCCATGGCAGCGAGATAAGCTGAGTGCATGCCCTGTGTAGCCGTAAATGGCTGTTGCATCGAGATATAGCCCGGAGGAGGCATATTGGAAAAAGGAGTAGAGGATGGCATCCCGGGATAGCCCGAGGGAGGAATTGAGCTACAACCTGGGGAAGGCATAGATGGATAGCTCGAATGAGGCATACCGGGATAGACCGGGGGAGGCATCGGTGGGTAGCTCGAGGGAGGCATACCATAGAATATCATAATGGTGGCTGGCCCTGTGAGCGAGAATGCACTGATGGAGTGGAAGAACGAGGTGGACTCGATCTAGACACTATAACCTTTTCTTTTCCTTTTTTCTTGTTACGAGTGGAAGAATGAGGTGGACTCGATCTAGACACTGTAGCATTTTCTTTTCCTTTTTTCTTGTTAGTCACGCGAGAATTATTACTCCGACGTCGATCATTATTTTCACTGGATGCTATCTACGTAATAAGAATGTTAAAAGATAAGTTAGTAAAAAATATTGATTTAAAGTATAAAAATAAATTGTGTTAAATATTGATTTAAACAGAAGTTTAAAGATAGCATATTGCGTTAAGTAAATAATGACTTGAATAAAAACACATGTTATCTTTGAACCTGTATCACAATAGATGAGAGAAGTTAGAGCCATAACCACAAAAAGAGATGAACAAATAATAATTAACTAAACAAATAACATGTCATTAACAACACGCTAAAGAAAGACATGAAATAGAAGCTAAGAAAAGAAATAGACACAATAAAATTCGTGACCATTTTTATCATAAAATAGTGGAGAGAATCTCATACAAGAAATAGAAAAGTTGACAAAAAAAAGTTAGCTAATCCAAATAAAGAAAGAACCAACGAAAACTCTCTTTTTAATCCTCCTCGCTTATTTCATCTTCATGAAGGGGAGCCTTGTCGTAACCGGTAAAGTTGCTGCGATGTGACTAGGAGGTACGGGTTCGAGCCGTGGAAATAGCCTTTTGCAGAAATGCAGGGTAACACTGCGTATGATAGACCCTTGTGGCCGACCCTTCCCCGAACCTCGCGCATAGCGGGAGCTTAGTGCACCGGGCTGCCCTTTTTTTTTTTCCAATCTTCAACACCTGCCAATTCTTCATCTTCGCTTATTTCATTTTCCCACTCGCCAATTCTTCATCTTTACTTGTTCCATTACTTTATGTCGAATCTGACTCATAAGAAGTATACTCATCGTCATCTGATAGTTCTTCCAACCCATTTGCCATGAAACCTTCTTCCTCGAGATCAATTTCTTCATACATGTGTTGAGGATGCTCCAATTCATGTTCTAACTCTTTGTCCGCCGCTTGTTGAACACTAGATATATCGTTTTGGTATGCAACTCCATTACATTCTCAACTTCCACAAGACTCACATGCTTAGTTTTAATAACCGCCCACCAATCCAACTTGTCCCAATTTTTTTGGAGTGTGAGGTAGTTGATTGATTGAACTATGTGGATAAGTTGTTCATATGATTGTAGTTTGAACCTTATTTAACATTGTATTGCCACGAGGTTTAAAGATATTCGGTTTTACTTGTAAGAAATCTTCTAGATATATTATGACTGAGAGAAAACTCCCTCAATTGCACTGTGCTATTATGTATTGGTGGGTTACTTTCAAAACACTCGTTAACTTGGTGCTATTAGGTAAATATGTTGCTCCAATCCCATTTGGTTTTCCAAAATTTGGTGATTAATCTGGAATAAGATGATCATTAACATGTTCTTCTGTTAGCCATCAAATGGTGTTTGATCAAGTAGTTTGTGTGAATTGTAATCTCTGTCTGGTTTGATTTGACAACTAGTGCATTTTCCTTATGAGCTTTGCTCCATGACATTTTTTGGGGTTGACGGAGGGACTTTAGCAGAGAAGTGTTAGTAGAATTTGAGCATAAATAGGTTATGATTAGATGAATCTTTGAGCTTAGAGTTGAGCACTGAGTGGACCCAACCAGTTAGGTAGTGTTAACCAAGGTCGACTGGATCTTCCATTGCTTATTTTTCTGAATTAAAGAAAGATCAGAGAACTTCATTTCCTTCTGTAGACAAATATAAGTTTTTATTACAAGATTACTAGAGGTACTTATTTCTTGTTTATGATCACTATGTAAGTCTTGCCGAGCGACTATGAAAGACATGCGCCAATGGTTTGTATAATAAATACGGCATTTAGCTATCATTGGCCAATCTTCACAAAGCCGAACTCAATTGGAAGGTATGCTGGAAGGACAAATGAAAAATAGACTGTTTATTTGTATTATCAGACTCAAAAACGATGGAAATATGCAGATCAACATGGATATATAAACCTTGAAAAGAAAAACCAATGAACTAAATGGATCTAGATAATAGCATATAAACCTAAATACTATTGGAAACACTACTGAGTACTATAATACATGTAATTATGTATGTGTATATGAACTTATAGAAGCATAGGTAAGTGATGAGAAAAGAGAATGTGATGCTGATGGATTATTTGATATAATAAATCAATTTGGTTCTTTAAATTCTTTCTGTCTATGCAGGCAATGTATATCCGTGTCAAGCGTAATAGGATCACCTACTTTATTCAATGTGACCCAACCGAGACAATTCTACAAATAAAGGAGAAATTGTATAACCTCACTGATCAACCTGTTAATGATCAGCAATTAATTCTATTGCCTGCTGGAGACGTGTTGGAAGACTCGAAGTCCCTAGCTGATCAGAAGGTAAATTGTCCAACTTTATCATCATCCTTTTTCAACATATCGTATGATCTATTGGTACAACTAGAAAATATTATATTATCTGGAGTTTTACTTTGGATAATCAGCAGATTTTCACTCTATCTTTATTGATTGTAGACATACAGATACATATTCTACTCCTATTACTAATGATCTGTCCAACTTTCCTTTTTAGGTTGTTCCAGAACTGGTGTCCACATTCTTGAAAAGGAATTTTTTTCCTTTAGACTTCTTCAATACTCCAAAATCATATTAACAAAAAACGTTACATGGGACTCTTTTAAGTTTTAAGGGATATATTTGAGGAATAGCCTCAACCTGCATCTATTTTAGGTTAAGAAAAACTCTTGCTTTAATACCTATACTGAATCAAAATATGACATCTAATGTGATGGAGAGAGTCATCTGAGTATATACCGAGAACAAGAAAGAAGTTCATGAGGTTCATGAAATATTGTTCTCAAGCAAATAATTCCATACTTCTTTATTCAATCTACGCTTATGGCATTATTTGTTATTTTTTTTAATGTTTTTGAACACTTTTCAGGTTGAAAAAATGACGCTGACTCTGAGAAAAGGTTATCTTCCCTTTACATTTTTCTTTTCCCAGTTTTAGTGGAAATTTCTACAGTTGATTAGCTGATAATTTTTGTGTCAGAAGTCCATTTATTTGTTCTTGACTGCATCTGATTCATTCCCTCAGGCCCCACAGTATTTTTTATTCATTGAACAATTACAACTAAATCTAGTAACAGCGGCTAATGATTGAGTTCGACTCGATCATGGTTCATCAATTGCAACATGGATGATACTTTTCTTTCAGTATCTAGTGGGACCAGCTATTCTTAGCAATGTTTCCATTTCGTAGCTGATTAGTATTATTTTTGCTGAGAGATTAAAGGAAATGCAGAGGGAGGTAGGGAAGACTGAAAGCTGGAAAAGAATATATCATGTGGTTTGAAGAAGTGATAGAAAAATATGGTTATTATCAATACTATGACAACATAGCAGAGACATTGGGAGAGATATCGTCTTTACATAGCTTGTATATTTGGAAAAGAAAATTAGGAATTGGAGGAAGAAGCGGTGGAAGGAAAAAGGAATTTTTTGTTCTCCAAATTGGGTTCTTTCTTTCCAGAGGAGGGCATCTGATCCGTAACATTGGTTTTCCTTCACTAAAGTGCTCCTCTTTCTTGTACTTTGCCGCCTCTCACTTAGTCACTCCTACCACATTCCCGTTCATCCATATTTCAGAATAGTTGCATTATACATTTTGATGAAGTATTCATTGACTAGAGAAGTATAAACCTCTATAGTTTGCATTAGGACTTGATCCTATATTGGGACTTGAATTATTTGAACTTCTACAACAACAACAATAATAACAAACCTAGTGGAATCCCATAAATTAGGTCTGGTGAGAGTAGTGTGTACTTTACCCCTACCTTGTGCAGGTAGAGATGCTGTTTCAAATAGACCCTAAAACACATTCTCAATAACTTGGCAAGATGGCTTTTAACTTATTCAGGTGACGGAACAACTGGAGAAGCGAACTGCAGGAGCTCCTTGTTACTCTGAAACATCAACATATTCACTTCTCTCAAAGAGATTAGTGCATTTATCCCATTTCCACTTGAGTCATCCAAGAAAATAATGCTGTTAATCATTGGATCTGTTGCTAGGGTCACTCTTATAGGCCTACCTCATCCAAATCAATAATATTTAACCCGAAATTGCAGAAGCTACTGTATACATAATATCATATATATATTCCTCTTTGAAATGTTTACAAATGATTTGAATTTTTCAAGCGAATGTGAATCTACCTGATTTGGATTCTTATCCTTCAACTCTTGAAGATGTTTAGCCTTCCTTACTTGAGCACCGATGTGGGGGACTTGTATCTCATCTTCCGTTGCTGCTATTGTGCAGCTAAAGAAGAACAAACATTTCCAATGGTGTTTTAGGGGCAATGGTGGGCGTAAATTCGCCACGTGGTACAATAGAGATGGTCCGGGCAAGCCGGAATTTGCTTGTGATATAGCAGCTGCCACTCCACCTTTATGAATAAGTGCTGTAGCAACTTCAACGCGAGTTGGATTTTGCAATTCTGAACTCATTGCAACAATACTTTGAGTCTTCCCAAACTAGAGGATGAGAAATCAGGTGCAGGTGCAGCAGCTAGAGGAGGATCATCCATTATTGGGAAGAAACAATCTGCATCAAACTGAGGAGATGGAAATCCAACTGTGGCGCTGTAGCACCCATTTCATGAAGAGAACTTACATGTAGATATCCATCAGTAATCTGGTACGATATACATATACTAACTGCTAGTCCATCACAATCGAAACGGGTTAATTGGACCACTAATAGACTTCTTATCAAGGAACTACTCCAAGGCAAATCTTGTGGGAAAACTATATGTGTGGCATCACAATAAGCGTGGTTGAGAATTTCAGACATGGGACAACTAACCCGGACATCTAAATACTCAGCACCTGTGTCATTACAATCAACATATTTGTTATTCATGATTCATCCCGCGAAAGAGTAATAAGAAGCTGATACTTTTGAAAGGGAGTTTTCAAGAATGTGGTTTATGTTGGTATTTGTAGGTGATTTGGAGTAGAAGGCAGCAAAAGAAGAATATGCAGGACTAGATATTTGATCAGTGGTAGAAAGATTGTGATGTCTAAGTTATGGAGGGTGGGAGAGGAGGGCTTGATCATCTTTTGCCAAAGAATTCTTGATTGCACCATTTTTAGCTCTCTGTTTTGTGAGCAATGTGGAGGAAATGAAGATAGTTATAGATACATTTGAAGCTCAACAAACTAATACTATATTACCTATACATTATGACCTCATAAATCTCTATGCATTATTACTTTGACTTTGAAGCTTTTGCGTTAATCACAACAGAGAAATGAAGAACCTATGCAATTCCCAACTTTGATAAATGTTTTCTCGTGTGATAGTGGCCTAAATATGTAATGTTTGAATTAAATTTACATATGTATGATCTATGTGCAAGAAGAGTTGAGGTTTCCAAGTTGACCTTTTCTAAATTACATTTTTCTATGTAATGATTTATGTGCAAGAAGAGTTTGAGGTTTTCAAGTTGCTTGTTTTTTAGATACTAGTCTTAGGGTACGCGCTTTGCGCGTGTACCCTATATTAATAAATATACTACTATAAAAAAGTATTTAAATATCATTAAACTATGTGTTTGACTTTTCAAATAAAAATTAACAAAAAATGTATAAGCTTTTGAAAATGACAAATATTGAATATTTCATTTAGTTAGCTCAATAAATAAAGGAACATCTCTCAGAAGTTCTTAGATGTCTTATTGTAATTTCTTAGGTCTTTTCTAGGAATATCTTATAAAAATTATTGTTATTTTTATAATATAATATAAAAATAAATAAAAATACGTATAAATAAATTTATATCAACAAAGATTTATCAAATAAAATAAATTAAAAAATTAAATTTCTCCGTCTTTGGGAATGGAGGGGTTGGTGTTATGCTCATAAAAAAATTGATAAGGGACAACGTAAAGTCTGAGTTGGCATAATAATAATAAATGAAAATTAGTTCATAATATAGTTTGTATTCTACTATTTCATTCTTATTACTTTATTTAACTTTAGATTTTTACCAATTTGACTCTTAATATTATTATAACTAATTTTTCTATATGCTGATGCTCTTCTTATCAAAATATATGCACCCTGAGAGATTTGTCACCTTGAAAATAATTTTACTTATATAATGAACTTGAATAATAGTTAAATCGATTCTTTTGCTAATTAGTTAATTCAAAGACTTCATTATTTGTCCACAACATTGAAGAAAATATTTTATTTGTTGTTGATTCAAATTCTTCATATGAGCTCATATATAATTTTAAACAATTAATTGTAATCATAATTTTATAAGTTATAGTACCAAAGAGTAAAAAAGTTAATGTGATAGTTCCCTTTAGATCTTTGCGTTCGTAGAATCATTAGTGTACTTGACTCTTTTCAAATACTTAAATATTTTATTAGTAAGTTGTTTAAATTTATTGGTGTTATTTCAAATATTATAATATAATTATTATTATTACTACTTCTTTTGTTATTATTATTAAAATAAAAAATAAGAAAAATAATGAAAATATATACACAAACCTAATTTCTGCTCTTGGGTAGTCTATTTTGGATTTAAACAAAATTAATCTATACTATATTAAAAGCACGAAGGCCCTTAGCGAAATGTCGTTCGTCTTTTTACCCTTTTAAAATATAGTTCACATTGGACAAAATAGTCATTAGATTATTTTCCTAATATTTAAAGATAATTATTTAATTATTTTTCTAATATGTAGGAGTATTTATTTAATTATTTCTATAATATTTAGGAGTACTCATGTAATTATTTTCCTAATATTTAGGAGTTTAATTTTTTAATTCTAGAATTCTTGCACTTTTCAATCTAAATTAGGAAGTTTCGTCCACTTTTTAAGTGTTTGTTTTCTTAATAAAGTTGTTTGCCTTTAACTCCACTCAATTCAAATTTAGGAGTATTATATAAAAGAGAAAAATCATTAAAAAAAACATAAAAAGAAAAATTGACAGGAAACATGTGAAAAATGTCGTGTATGTCAATGACGGAATTTTATAAAAATTGCACGGGGCGCCCTATTTGGGCGCCCCTTTTTAACCTGTAGCCGCTTTGTCTTTCTGTTTGCACCCGTACCCGTTTTTTTTAAAAGCCATTTGAAAAGACCATTTTGACCTTCCTTATTAAAAAGACTACTTTCTCTCCAAGTATTCACTAGTCCTCTACTTTCTCTGTCTCTTTCTCTCCCGTTATTCGCGTTTTTTGAAGTTCTTCTCTGAAATCAAACGGTTTTCGTCGTTGTTTTTGATTTTTCAATTGCTAGTCGTCGTTGTTCCCACATTACAATTTAATCACAGGTACATTGCATTAACTTTCTGGGTTTTATTTTACGATTTAATTTCTGATTTTGGTTTTGATAGTCATGTATTTATGATAAAATATTTTCTTAGGGTTTAGTTTGATAAGTGAATTAGTTTTACTTTTACGATTGTGTTTTTAGGTTTTTTGAACGAGTGTTTATGTTGTTAATGAAAATTCTATAATTTCTTCTGTGATTAGACGTTCAAATTTTTAAAAATTTTGAGAGTTAAACAGATGATACTATAGTTCAATGATATCTTAGATACGAGCTAAAGTTTTTTTCATGTTTTGGCATTATTTTTGGATTTGAATTTGTGTTTTGTTTTGTGTAAAAATTACAGCATATTTTTTTGCTGAATGTTTTGTGCTTGTAACTGGTGAAGTTCTGCTTTAGGAGCTGAAGTTTTTGTGTTTGTAACTGGTGAAGTCCAGCTTTAGGAGCTGAAGTTTTTGTGTTTGTTACTGGTGAAGTCCATCTCTAGAGCTGAAGTTTTTGTGTTTGTTACTGGTGAAGTTCATCTCTAGAGCTGAAGTTTTTGTTTTATACCTGTCGAACTTCAGCTCTATAGCTGAAGTTTTTGTTTTACACCTGTCGAACTTCAGCTCTATAGCTGAAGTTTTTATTTTATACCTGTCGAACTTTAGCTCTATAGCTGAAGTTTTTGTTTTATACCTGTCGAACTTCAGCCTTCCTATGTATTGAACTTTTAACTGATCTTTTTGATAGTGTCCTGATGTATTTGTATCTTTTACTTTTTTTGAAAAGATGGCTCCTAAAGCACCTAAAGATCCTAATGCAGCTAAAAAAGGCAAAGCCCCTAAAGCACCTAGACTACCTGTAATACCCCAAGGTCCTTATGTCCCCTCTGCTCCACCTACAAAACCAGGACAAAGATATTATGAGTTTGGAGATTGGTTTAACTCTAAGGGTTACTGGAAGGGGAACCATGATTTGAAGAAATTAATTGTAAGTTTCTTGACTCCCACTCAACAGCATAAGCTTAATAATGGTACATTTAGATACATTATGGCTATGGAGAATTTCCAATGCAGCATGAAGTTGGTGCATTGTCTGTGTCTTTCTCGAATATTCACGAATGACCGAGACTCCATTAGTTTCAAGATTTTTGGGCATGATGTTTCCTTCACCCTTGAAGACTTTCACATTATGTGTGGTTTGCGGATCACAGCACACAATGTTGAAAGACCAATTAATCGAGAGAGCAATCTTCTGAAGCGGTATTTTGGTAAGTCCAAGGGTGTGACTTTGAAGGATATTCGAAGTTTTATGACTCGCAATGAAATTCCAAAGAATGCTGTGAATCATGTACACGTATGCGAGAGTGATGATGATGCAGTTAAGCTTATGGAAATTCTTGTTGTAGAGTCTATTCTGTTTGGGAAAAATACTGAGTTATGTGTGTGGCGGAGGAGTATGCATCTATTGTTGAAGATGATAATGTTTGCGCTGAATATCCTTGGGGTAATGTGGCTTATGAGAATGCATTGGACAAGCAGAACAAATCCCATACAACTGAGTATAAACTTGGTGGATTTCCATATCCGTTATGTGCTTGGTTCTATGAGCGCTTCCCAGATGTTCGGGAGAAGTATATAAGAGAGGATGAGTACCTTGATGCCCCTCAGGTCCCCAGGATGTTACGTTATGTATGCGTGGGAGAGCCTAAATTTCCCGAACTTTAGATGTATTAGTTTTTTTCTCTTCATAATATACTTTTTTGTATTAAACAGAGATATCGCGACTTTAGGGTATTGGATATAATTCCTACAGAAGAGGAATTGAATTCAATGCCTTTAATTGGGAAATTACCGTGCAGCCGGGTTCGTTCAAATGTAGTTAATGCAGTTCCTTCAACTGGTGAATCACCACGTACTCTGAGTCGATCAAAAGAATCGAATCGAACTCCTGTCATTGGTAAATCACCACCTACTCTGAGTCGATCAAAAGAACCGAAAAAAACTCATGTCATTGGTGAATCACCACGTAGTCGGAATCAACCAAAAGAACCGAATCCAACTCCTTTTATTGGCGAAGCATCTCGTACAAAGAGTCGTTCTACCGTCTACATCTGACTTTGATGACAATGAATTACTTGACACAATATGCTCTGTAAGTTTTGATCTGAAGTTTTTTGGGTTTCTTTTTGTAAAAGTACAACCTGTTTTTTGAGCTGAAGTTTTCTTCTATATCTGAATTTTTGTTGTGTATCTATTCTAGAGGTTAACGACGGAGGTTCAAAGGCATGCAGAAAAAGAAAGAAGCACGATTGTGAATGAAGTTTTTGATAAGTTTAAAAAGGAGGAGCGAACTACTATTGTGGATGCGGTTTTTGTAAAAGTGAAGGTAAGCTAATTTATAGAGAAGTCTTTTTATTTGTGCTGATGTTATTCAGATTAATCATTGTTAGTAATTTTCTTTCTAAGAATATTTCGATGAGAAGTTTGAACAGTTGTTTACGATTGTCAACAAATCAAATAATTTGAGTAAGCATCGAGGATATGACAGGATGAACGACTGTTACGAACCTCCATCGGCTTTTGAAGGCGATGAACATGTTCAAGAAGAATTTGAAGAGCGACGTTCAAGTGCTGATAGATTGAGCAGAGATGTAAATGATGAAGCACATTTATCAACTGAGAATATTGGAAGCATGCAAGGTGCAGATAATCAAGTTGTTGATACTGAAGAACATACTGCTCATGATGCATTGCGTAAAGTCGCAGATGATAATGCTACACATAATGAAGCGGCTGTTGAAGGCGTTGAACATGTTCAACAACAAGGTGGAGAGGAACAATCCAGTGTTTGTAGACAGAGTAAAGGTGGAGAGAAAGGTGCAGATGATGAAGTTGTTGGCACTGAAGATCAAGCACCTGTTCATGAATGTTTTGGGAAAGACGGTCGATATGCAGGAGCACTAGCTATTTGCAAAAAACTTGTAGCTGATGATACACAGGAAATTGTTACTACTGGTACAAATTG